CCCCCCCCCCACGCCGCGTGCCGCCCTCTCCCAGCGGACGTCCCGCCCCTCCGCTTCCGCTTCCCACGCGCGCACAGGTGAGCGGGAGGGGAGCGCGGGCAAGGCGGGAAGGTGTGGCGAAAAGGATTGAAAATAAAACGCCACACGCTTCAGCTGAAGAAAAATGCGGGGATCCCTCATTGCACCGAAGGTTACTACTTAAGTCTGTCATCGGTCAGAAATGATCACGGAGACGCTCTTAATGAAAAACGACTGTACCGTCGACTTTGATCCTTTGTACCTTTGAAGGGAGTCCCTTCCTTCTCCAAGCTGTTTCTCACCGGGCGACCTCGGCAGCACACAGGAATACTCTTGCCCTGAGTTGCGACATGTTTGTGTCTGATCCAAAATAATTAAAGGAAAATACGATTACCAATAAAAAAAAAGTAAAAATGGAGACGAATAACGGGAGAAGGGGTGAAGTTGAGGTTCTCCCTCACAGCGACGAGTGCGCGCGGGCTCGCTCGAGCGGGAGCGGGTGAGGGGGGGGGGGCACGCGCGGCGGCGCACGGGAGGGCACGTCAGCGCGCGGGGGTCCCCGCCGCCTCTTATTTCAATCATCTTGTTTGCCGGACGGCCGCTCGAGACTCGCCCGCGACCTGTTGAAGCCGGCCGCGAGAGCGAGGGGGCTGTTGGCTTACCATGAAAGTTTAATCAGCTTTGGCGCTTCTCCTTTCCAGCTCATAAATTCCCCCTTTCAACAAGACATGGTGGAAAGGGGGCGCGGAACCCCCGCAGACACCACCCCCCCACCCCACCGTCTCGAGATGGGGGAGGAGGGGGTGTGTGGCGTGAGAAGGGAGGTTTCACTCCGTGGGGCACGCAGGAGCAGACGGAAGCCCTTCTTCAAAAGAAGGATGCCGTCCCGAAAATATCTGCGCAGAGCTCCGTCGGTTGTATTTAAAAAGTACCTAAAAGAATAATTCCGAAGTGCATAAGGAACATTCCCTGCCCGTATACAGATACAGAGCAGGTCTCGCTTTAAAACGCAGCAAACGCTTTTGAAAACATGACTCCAAGAGCCGCAGGGCGGGTAATTGTATTTGATGATATTTGCACTTCGCCTGCGCACTTCGGACACAGGCAACCTCGTCTTCGCCTGTTTCCCCCCGTCTGCCTCCCCACCCCTCGCAGCGTGGCGTGACCGCAGTTGTGGTGGCCTTCGCTGGCAGAGTTCGCTGGGTCAGCCGTCTGCTCCCGAACCGCCTGTCACTCACACAGCCCGGCCAGCGAGGCTCGTCATTAACAGGCCGGTGGAGGGACGAGAAGGGGGCGCTTTGGAAACGAAAGAGCATATAAAACAGTCCATTAAGGCTGCAAATCTTAAATTAACAGGAAGAAAGAAGGAGGAATTGAGCGAGGTTGGGATGGCCGCATGGATTTGCTGAATTCATTACCTCAAAGTCTTTAATTGGAATGCCATTTTGCATGTAAAAGTATGTGCCGATCAGAAAAAGTGAAGTGTTCAATTTTTTATCACAGGATTTCTAACTGCTGTGCTCATTTGCTTTTTTTTTTTTCCAAGGCAACGTGCGTCTGGCTGATGGGTGAATTTTGTTCCCCGTGAGCGAATTATCCAAAATTCGGATTCGGAAAAGCCTACTTCTTGTTAACGTTGCGCAGAAAGGAAATGCTGGTTTCCACCAAGTGTGAGTCCTAATGCGTATTATGGCAAGTGCGTCCCTGATGGCTTTTGTCATCCTGTGCTACAGCATTCAGGATGGCTACTGGATGGAATTGCGGAAATGGACCCTATGAATGGGGATGTTGTTATACAAGTGTGTCTGCAGTGCGGGCATATTATTATGCGTGTATAAAAACCTAGATCATATATAAAATATGAAAATATAGGTTGACACATTGGCTTGGTGGTTACTTTTGCTGCCTCACAAAATCAGGTTGTTGTTTTTTTTTTTTCCAGGAGCTCTTATATTTCCAGAGCAACAAATCTTAATTGCTGCACCAGCAGGGAGTCCCCTAGGACAGGCTGTGTATTGATAGAGGTTAAGGAAGAAGGTGACGAGGATGACATGAGCATGAACCGAATCTGAGCTGGCAGCAGCAGGAATGCACAGCTCCCCGGTCACTGCCAGAAGCTTTACCACAGCGAGAGTCCCTGATAGAAAAACACCAGGCCTTCTCCTAATACAGGTCAGAGATCTTCAGTCCTGGCCCTGAGGAACTACAGCATGGGTGCTGTCCTGGTGCCGAAGGGCTGATGAGTCTGCAGTTTCTCATTCCTTTTCAACGCCGAATGACCTAAAGCAGCTCGAACCTGGATTGACTGGAGCGATTTCACAGCTTCTCTCAGAGCTTGGAGCTCTTAGAGACTCCGAAATCCTGCCGACACACTGGTGCTCGAGGACTAGAACTGCACATCTCTGACCATCAGGGTCTGGTGGTTTTGTGCCCACCAAGCTTTTAATTAAATAATTGAACCATCACTCCCAACTCTGACAGAGCTTCTAAAGATTGGGAACACCTGTAAATTATTGATCACTCAAGACAGTGATCTGTTTAAATTAAGAGTTCTCTGATCTTTGAGGGCTGAGAGGTACTCAGGGTCTGATCACAAATCATCTTAATGAATTATTTCACGTAACAAACTACCTGCTTAAGAGAACACAAGAAAATGGCTGATGAAAGTAAAAACCCGCTGGGGACCGTGAGAGGGTTGCTTTGCTGTGGCCTGGAGCTCTCCGGGACTGGGGCTGGAGACCCCTGAACTACTGTACTGGTTTTACGAATATCGTCACGCACTACAGACAGCAATAAAAGCCAAAGCAGCAACCGTGCCCAGGGACAGGACTGAACACTGGGCCAGAATCCATGTGGACCAGGACCTAAACCCAGTGGAAGTGCATTTAGAACTGGGAACAGCAGGTACGTTATGGCCCAACGGGAGGTGGTGGGAGTGAGGAACAAGCTTCCCAGCCACGCTGTTGAATCCAATATCCGGGCGTCTCTCAAGAGCCAGTTGGATGAGATCCTTGGATCCATTAATTACTATCAAACGGCCTAGATGAGCCGAATACCCTCCTCTCGCGCGTGATGTTCCTTTATCAGGGCTGCGTTAAAATGCCGAGCAGCTAGGCTGTGGAACTGTGTAACCCTTACGACATCAGGCAAATACACACGTCCGCATGGGCTGAAGACTCCAGCCTGCAGCCTTGCGCTTTTCACTGTACACATGGAATACATTGCTATTGGAGGATTTTATATTATAGCTCTGCGTTGCACCTCCATGCCATCAGAATATACCATTGTAGTTCTTAGCATTTGATTTCCCCTTGTGTGACAGTTGTAAGGCACTTCCAGCTTTGTTCTAGCTTCGCAGTCTTTTAATAAAATCCACTATACTTATTTTGTTGTGCTTGCAGGATTGTTTCCTTGTACATAATAAGATCGAAACTATACAGTATTTGTAAAATTCCAATCGGTATTCATTCACAAGACCCCCCTGGGGGGCTCAGAGTACTGAAAGAGTGAGTAGAGGGCAGTGTCAGAAAGGTGTAGAAAGGAGAGCAGCACAGACCCTTTGTAAAGATATATAGTGCCTTTCACAGGCTCAGGCTTCCAAAATGCCTTCAGCAAAAAAAAAAAAGTGAATCTCTTCAGCCATCAGATGAGAGAGACAGCGAGGACAGGGAATATCTCGGTGCTCAGCACGAGATCTGACAGCGTTAAGAGCACATTATTAGAAGTTATTTCCCGGACCCCGTGTCTCTCAGAAGAAGGAGAACAAGAAAGAGAAAATAAAGAAGGAGGTGCAGCTGAAGCTGAAGAAAAGGTGGCACGAGGAAGAAAATAAAATAAAGCAGGATAAAAATTCCCTTTACCTTTTCCCCTGTTATATATACATCCCTTCTTCTGCATTACTTTCTTCTGAAATTGCCCCGAGGCTCAGCACTCTCTTGTGTGGCTTGCCTCCAGCATGCCTTGTTTTCACACACTGATAATAATTTAGCTTCTGGGGAACCAAGGCTTTTAAAGGATGCACCGGTGCTCTCCCATGCTGGCATAGCGTGTTCAGATCCGCTCGGCGCAGGAAGCGCCTTCCTTCGTCACTCGTCCACTCGTGACTGCGCAACATCTCCAATGCCCCCGCCTTCGCCACACGGACCGGGGGCCTCTTCCGAACTCCGTCCGCTAGGAGACCCACGGCGTCTTCGCACTGAAGGTCTCCTCAGCTGTGTTTTGTTTCGGGGGGGAGGGGGGGACTCTAAATGCAAGGGGGAGAAAGCTTCACTGCTGTGGGCTCATGCATGTTTTGGATGTCTGTTCACTGTTGTGAAGACCAATCCCTCATCTTTCAATGCAAACCTTTCTCTCCAGGGGTCTCGTGGCCTGTTGCAATACAAACTGCAGTGCTCTTAGCACCAATCTGCTCTGGGCCACTTCAAGAGTTTGTACAGAGGTATATAGGGTCACGTCAGACTGGTACAACTCTGAGGATGAGGGTCTTCAGCTAAAACATAATGTGCTGTGTCCCTCTTCCATAAAGTCGCTGAAGACCTGACACTCTACAGATGTGAGTGGCCTTCCCTTCATTGAACTTGGCACAGCAAGACTGCTCAGTCACAGTATG